CTTCTCTGGTGCAGATCTCGAACCTGAAGCCCCACTGCAGCAGTCTGCTGGCAGAGACATTAGTGCCCCTCATCAATGGTAGGTGACTGGGAGAGCTGGAACACCGGGAGTGCTCCGGCTGAGTGCTGGGAAGGAGGGAAGAGGGGATGTGTGTGTGTTGGAAAGCTGTGGCAGGCGACCTGAAGCAATCCAATGTTTGCAATCCCATTTTGAGGCTGCAGTTGAATTCCCAGCCTTATTCTTGCCCCATCCCACCCCAGCTTCACTCAAAGGGCCCTGGTAACAGCTAGTGGCAGGGAATGTGAGGAGAACCAGGGCACTGGAGGGCTGCAGTCTGTGCCTCCCCAGCAGCTTTGTGTTGGAGGCGAGCTGGGCTCACCGCTCTGGTGGGATGTAAGGACCTGTCTGTCCCCTGCAGGTGCTCTGGGCATTGGGATCCCTCTGCCGAATGTGCTGGGCATTCCCCTAATAAAGGTGGATATTCGGATATTAGCGGTAAGTGTTGGGCAGGCGCTTTCCTCCTGCCTGTGCCGGAGCAGGTTCCCACCCTGCCAGAGGTGGTTTGGTGAGCAAGAGCCTTCCTTGGAAGGCCAGGAAGGGGCTGCTCTGACCTCCTCTGGGTCAGAAGATGCTGCCCAAGTACTTCATGCCTATGAGTATTATTGAACGAGGTGCACCAAGAGCAATGCTCACCATCCAGGCTGCCTTTTCTGTCTGGAGAACTCCACGTGAGCAGCTCTCGTGTGGGTCCAGGGGGTCTGGCAAGTCCCTTTGAGTGGCACTGTTCAGAGAGTCTTGAGTTGCACTAAATTCCATCCCTGCGCCTCCGGGACATGTCCCAAAGGAGCAAGGATATTCTCCAGTGCTTCCAAAGGGTGCTGTGTCCTCTTTATTACAAATCTGCTATGAGGATTTCTGCAAGAGGGTTTTCTGCTCACTCTGTGTTGCTGATGAGCTGTTGGGAACCAGCATCCCTGAAGCTGGGTGGTAATATGGATGTGTCACTCCTTGCACCTCCTTAGGGCCTGCTGGTGGTCCTCGTGTGAGCTGGGGAGAAAGAGGCACCAAGGGGTCCTTCTGGGCAGAGAAAGAAGAAAGACCAGCGCGGATGGAACACCAAGATCAGCATTATCTGCTTTTCTTTTCTAAACTTTATTCAAGATTCTTGATAACATTTCAGACACTTTAAAGTTAATTGGCTTGTGAGTACTGAGGTGCTCCCATGAGCCAAAACCCCCATAGGCAGCTCTGTGTACAGGTATTTATTTAGAGGAGTCAGCAAGTTTTGGGATCACAGTTCCAGCAGTGGTGTGTGATGCTGCAGCAGAGGTGTTACATTTGTCTTGAAGGAAAATTGTTCTTGATATAATGAAAGAGAACTTGCTGCATGTGGCTTTCTGAGGAAATGTCACAATCTGCATTCGGAAGGAAACTCTTGTCATGTAACTCCTAATAAACATTCCCACTTTTGTAGTGCTTGGAATGAGGTTCTGCTTTCTGATGCTTCTCAGGGAGAGCATTTGTCCTGCCTCCAGCCATGGAATCTGGTTCCTTTGTGACCAGTGATGTTCTGGTTTTGCTCAAACTTCTGAGAACAAAACCTGCTTGGCTTCTCAGTGGCTGCTCTGGCCAGGTAACCCACTGACCACATGCTAACCTGCAAGCAGAAATCAAAATGGAATTGGATTTCCACAGGTCAGGAAGCATTTCCTAACAGAATCTGAAGAGAAAATGTCGTTACCGGGTCACCGGGCAGTGTGGTCACACCAGAGCACACACATGTGCCTGCAGCAGCCCACGTCTGCTTAGACAGTCAGTTGGTTTCTGCATGTCACAGGGAAAAGAACGTGGGCATTTGGGATTTCAGGGTAGAAAAGAAATAAATCCAGGTCTCCAATGGCCTCTCTAAACACTTGTTCTCCCCAGCACTAGATGTTATTACTAGTGTGTTATTTATTGCTGGTGTCCCCAAAGCTGGTGGTGGTATGTCACTGTTAAAGCGTGGAAGAAGTCTGATGCTGGTCAGGTAACGGACAAGGGCAAAGCCCAGTTCTGTGTTTCTGCCTAAAGGTAAGAACAGTTCAATATCTGCTGGGTCACAGCCCTCGGCTGCTGCATCGATCTCCAGCATCGCAGTGAGATGCTGCAGAGGATGCGCTGGACCCTTTGGTTCCCAGCTCCGTGCAGGCTGATGGTGCTGATGGGACCATGCTCTCCAGAGGCTGTTCAGCTGCTGGTAGCATAGACCTTGCCCTGTCCCTGGGCAGAAATGTTTCTCCTGCACGGTGAGGGGCTCCCTGCTGGAGTAGCACCAGCCCCAGGTAAAACACATGGTGAGGAGCTTCTGCAAAGTGATGTGTGAGCATGAGGGAACATCATGGACCACTGGGTTGTGCTCGGGAGCTTCAGACACTTCTGCTCATGCTCCTTGATGCCGGTATGCCCACAGTGCTGGCTGAGTGGGGTTTTGGGGGGCTGTGACCCCATTACCAGTGGGCAGGATGAGCAGCTTCACTGACCCATGCCAGCTCTCGCTGTGCCACCTCAGGGCTACTGCACTGGTCAGGCTTGGCTTCTCCATTCATCCTCTTTGCCCTCAGGTCAGCATTAAGGGTTTTGTTTGTACAAGGTCTTGTTCTGGCTCCTGAGCAAACACCTCGTAAGTGAAGTTCAGCACCTTTTTGCATGCCGTTTCAGCCAGCACTTCTGTGCATTCTGGTTTGCTGCAAGGGATTCATTCTGTTGGTGTGTCACACAGTAATCTGGGGTCTGTCGCTGTCCCAGGGGTCTGTTTGGCTTGAGAAAGACAAGGCAGCTGGAAGCGGGTAAGGAGAGCTCAGTGCAGAGCTGCAGCAGGGGCTGCACGGGCCTGGGATCACAGAACAGTGGGAAAGGTGCCTTGAGCATCTGGAAATGGCTTTTCCTGCCAGGGCCTGGCCTCCGTCGTGCCGTTTATTGCACGGGGCTCAGTGGGAAGGAGCAGAGGAAAGGGCAGCATCTTCTCGGTGTAACATGTTACTTCTGAAGCTTGTAAATCTACTGCTCCAAATTGCTGCTGGATTCAGGAGCAAATCCAGAGCAGGAAATAGCAAGTCAGAATTTACAGGGACTGGGACAATCCTGTCCACAGTGGAAAAACCTCTGAACAGTGGTTTTCCAGTGTGCTGGCACCCTGACACTCTGGAAGACCATCCTGCGGGTGAGCAGCGGGAGCAGGGTGTGATGGGCCGGCTGCTCTGCTCAGGCTCCCGGGTCTCCTGGGGCTTTGGAATCTCCGGCTCTTGCTCCAGGAATGTCCCTGGTGAAGCTCCAGCCCCCTGCAGCTCCATGGGGGTTGGTGAAGGGGCTCGTCTCCGTTTCTAATGTCTGAGCCATCAGCTGTTGTGTCCTGCTCCATGTGCCTCTGGCAAGAGCAGCTGTGCATCGCCAGGCAGCTCTTCCTGCAGGACCCTGGGATGCTGCAGGAAAATGATGGATTTTGCCGGTGCCGAAGCTGGCAATACAAACACCTTTTTCTGTGGTTCTTATCCAGGTGAACCCAAAGCAACTGCTGGGACCACACTGGTCACCTTCTACAGATGCTGATGTTGCTGTGGGCTCAGTGAACCGGGTGACAGGAGGGTCAAGCAGAAGACCTGGTTCTCCAGTGAAACCCAGCTCTGCCCTGCACCTGTGGCTGACCCAGGTAGGACACGTGGGGCTGGGATCTGGTGGTGCAGCTCCCATGACCCCACGCTGGAGGTGCAGAGCCATGCAGTAAAGCCTTCAGCCAGAATACCCATTGGCAATAAATACATCTTTTCACTGCTGCAGTTTATTCCTTTTGGGAAACTGGTTTAAGATATATTAGTGAAAGAATAATGGTTGCAGCCCTACCAGGGAACTTTTATTAGGAGCAGTTCCCGCTGTTGCCAACTTTGGGCATTCAAATCATTAGTCAGGTCCCCAAGCTGGGCATATAAACCTTCAGGGTTTTTTACTCCTTACAATAAATCAACTTAGCTTTTGTTTGCTTTCCTATTTCTGAGCTGCTGAAATATGAGGGCTTGGAGTGCTTTTCAGAGGCTAGAAACAACGGGTAATAGCTGTTGTGAGTGCAAGCAGATGTCTGTGTAATGTGGTTTCATGGCAGGGGTGTTATGTGAAGCGTTGCCGTCAGAGAGCTCACAAGGACTGCAGCCCCATTGTCAGCCTCTCCGCCCATCCTGGCCTCCCAAGGGTGCTGTGGGGCTTTTCTCCCCTTTATTTTCCTGAACAACCTCTCAGGTTTGGTCAGTAAGAAAGAGCATCCCAGCACTGTCAGAGGCACCCTGGGTGGGTGCCCAGCACCGTCTGTCCGGTGCAGCCACGTTTCCTTTGGCATTCGCTCTGCAATGAGCGTTGTCAAAGTGCACTTTGGAACACGGAGCGTTCTTCAGGTCTAAAATTAGAAACCATTGTGCAGGCAGATTTGGTTTATTATTATTATTTTTCTCCTCCTTCCTGACCCAGGGAGAGGCACCAGCCGCAACGTTCCCATAGTAACACCAGGGATGGAGGAAAAGCAGATGAGGGATCTCTTGGAAAGGGCCGTGTCTGCAGTGAGAGCCTGTTTTGCATCCTTATAAATTAGTGGAATGTTCATGCTCCCTTAATTAAATGTAAGATCCGGACACCTGTACTGGTACCAGTTCTTAACAAGAGCAAACTCATCTGTCGTTTTTTTTTTGGGGGGGCGGGAATCAATAGTCACACCAGAACATGCAGTATTAAAGGGAAATGTTTAATTAAAGCATGGAACACAATTACAATCCATCCTCTTTGTGCAGCTGTCATACCAAGAGCAGGACTGGAAGGGAAAGGTGCTAGTGTAATGATGTTATTGTCCTAGATACAAGAAAGTGCTGTTCTAGTAAGGCAAGAAAGGAGATTCTCAGCATTTCAAGCAGTGTCAAAACACAAAGTGTGATGCAGGAGTCAACAGAACAGCTCTGCCACTGTTTTACTCTGGACACCAGATGTCAGCCCAGGGTGGTCTGTGCTCCGGTCCTCGCCTGGAGCCGCAGGTTGCAGGGCACCAAGACGTAGTCCTAGGCAAGGGGAGAACAGGGGCTGAGCAAGGTGCCGGGGTGGCTCTCAAGGGCCTTCTCAAGGCTCTCCATGGGCCAGCAGCCCCTCCAGCAGTGGAGCTAGGAGAGGAGCTAGGCCTGTGTAAAGCAATGGGACTTGGTTCTGTGGGTGAGCAGGGCTGGAGGAGCTGGCTCTGATTTATTCTCGTGCCAGGAGATGAGCAGTGCTCCCGGGCTCCCTTTAAATCAGACACAGCAGGAGTGATTTAAAGGTCTTATTTCTTACCTTGTGAATCACGACGTTGATGTCGGTGTAGGTGAAGCTGGAGATGTGGGGCAGGACCACGCCTTCACTCAGCACCACTAGGGAAAAACAGAGGGAAAGGTGCCAGCTGAGTGCTGCCTTTGTCCTGGTCGAGCATCCCGTGGGGCAGCACCACACAGGACTCGCAGCTCCTCACCATTGATCTGAGCTGGCACCTCTGCACGGATTGTGGGCAAAAAGAGCTCCTCCAGTAAGGCAGCCTGCAAAGGGAAGTCCCTGGTCAGCTCACAGAGTGGCTAAATCAGGAGCGGGACCGGGACCGGGACCAGGACCAGTGGGAGAGAGGTCCTGGTGCACCTCTCCTTCTCCCTGCCTCTGCAGGGTGCAGCCAGCACCAAAGTCAGCATTCCCGTGCTGATAACCACTGCTCGGGACGGTTCAGGACAGTCTAAGCTGGGGGTGCAGCAGAGGGTGACCAGGCTGTCAGAGGATGGTGCTAAGACACAGGCTGCTGCATTCAGCAAGTGGCAGCAGCACTGGGCAAGGAGGGGACATGGCTGAGCTCAGTCATTTGGGGGTGTGGGGCTGGGGGACACCTACCGGCACGGGACCCACGTCAGAGGCAGCCAGGCTGAGCTCAACATCCCTGGAAAAGAGAGAGTGGCACAGGAGATGCTTGTAATGAGCAGTCACTTCCCACGAGTGAGTGCAGGGCCACTGGATTTGGTGCCTGGTACATCTGAGCCAGTGGCTAAGCCCAACTGCACCCTGGGCACAGCTGCGAGGGCTTGAGGATGTTTTGTCCCCAAGGATTCATCCTGAACAACCTTTGTGGGCGCTGCTGGCGTGGGCCATGGGCTGGGGTGAGCGGGCTGGGGTGTGGGATGCTGCGCTTTTCTCCCTAATCACATTGAAACTGGAGTCTCGCTGGATCCCTTGGGATAGCGCCACTTCTGCAGTGCCCAAACCATATAAGCTAAAAAGTTTCCTGGATCATTCTGCCTGTCCTTTCCCTGCTGTGACTGGGATGCACCCCCTCCAAGCACTCGGAGCATAGCTGGGTTCATTACTCTATCACTGGTGCAGAGATCATCATCCTCGTGTTGGCGACGCTGAGGAGGAGTCCTGCAGACATATCCTGCACGGGGAGAAGACAGGGCACGGTCAAAGTGAGCAAATGGTCCTGATTCAGCTCTGAGCAGTGGGATGCGCTGGGCCCATCGTGTGCTGCCACCTGCAACGTGCTCCTCACACGCTGCTCCATGCACCAGAGGCAGTGCCTCGCAGGGCACACTCACCACGTTCACGCTCAGGAAGCTCTGGAATGCCGGCGATCCCACCCCAACGTGGACGGTGAGGAAGAGCTTCAGCGCTGCCTTGCCCTCCTCCAGCACCACCCGCGACGAGCTCCGGAACACGGCTTGCAGCACCACCGGCAGGTCCTCCGGGAACAGGGAGCCCATCTGCGGCGCAGGGGGGTGTTACGGGGGGCCCGGGCACTGCCCAAGCTGGGGTTGTGCCTCTCGGTGTGACAGAACGAACCTGGGAGATCTTGGGTGCCACCGTGGCGGTGGTCAGCGGGCTCTGGAAGGCAAACACCGCTTGTGACTGCCTGAGCTCCAGGGCTCCCGTCCAGCACAGCTGTGCTGACCCTGCAGCGAGCAGCTCCCATGGGTGCTCGACACGTTCCCGTTGCTTCAAGCCACTCACGGGGCAGGGCTGTCCCTCCAGTGTGTGTTTTCTGCTCCTGCCTTGCTCGCTTGCTCTACTCACCAGGATGGTCATGTTGAAGGCTCCAGCCATCTCCAGGGCGAAGAAGAGGCCGGTGTAGAAGTGCTCAGAGAAAGCCAGGGTGAGGTGGGCAGGGCTGGAGCTCGCCAGCTCAGGCATGTTGAATGGCACGGGACTGACTGGCAGCGGGATCGCCATTCCCGCCACCTGGAAAGTTGTCTGCAGGGACACAGGCAAGGAGGAAAGGAGTCTGGGGTGTCCTGGGGCACATAGCACGGGGAGCTGGGATGTGGGTGCTGGAAAGTGGGGACTTACCTGCAGGGATATGGTGATTCCCTGCTCAGAGAACACGGGTGCAGCCAGGGGCAGGTACTGGAGCTGGCAGCTCGGGGTGACGGGGAACTGAGCTGCAAACCGAGCAGAGGGACGCTCAGGAAGAGGAAGGGACGGTGATGGGAAGTGCTTGGGTGGGAGCCTGTTCCACCTTGTTACCTGCTCCAAAACAGGCCCAAACCCCTTAGTCTGTATTGACGCTGAAAGCCCAGTGCTCACCTGTCAGAGAGATCAGCTCTTCATTTGGTGAAAGCAGCAGTTTGGAGACTTCCAGGCAAATCTACGGCATAAAGAACAAGAAGAGAACTGGTAGATGAACACGGGGGTCTGCTGGCATCGGGTGTCCCCATCGACTGGCAGCCAGGAGACAGGGGATGGCAGCATTCAGGACCATGGGGCAGTGAACTGGCCTGATGAAAAGTGCTCTTGTTCCTACAGACCTGCACAACTTTGTCTTCTCTTGTCTCACACCTTTATCTTACCTTATCGACGTTAATCTCCTTGTCCAGCTCTGAACTAGAGGACTTGCTGGATGAAAACAACAGAATGGAAGAAGTTAGGTGGGACCCAGCTCAGGTGAGTCAAGGGCAGGTGAGGGTCTTTTATCTTGACTGAAAGGCATCCAGAGATGGTATTACCACTATTTGCTATCATCTACTAAACAACAATTACAGTTCAGAACCCTAAAACATTGAAGATTTGCTGTTGGACTTGTATTAAGAATATGGCTGCTGCTCTACTTTAAAAGATCCCTTATGAGAGAACAAAAATCTCTTGAAATGGGGAAAACCAACCCTGGAAGCAGAACAAAGTTCCTCCTGTGAAGATAAAGCTTTTGTTTCAACCTTTGTGAGCAGCTCTCAGTCAAATCACCTTCCTGCCTAGAAAAGCTTGTGCCTCAGTTTCTTCTTTTCCCCTGTTACCCAGATCCCATAACAAGGAAAACCACGGGATTGACCTCTCCTCCGTGCTCTGCACCTCCTCCACGGTGGGTTTGCAGGCAGAGGTCACCAGCTCCAGGTTCCCTTCGGGGTTCATTTCCACGTGGAGGTCTGCCCGGATGGACAGTCTCATGGCCTTCGTGGTCGAGCTGTGCCAGGGGAGGAGAAGCCGAGGCTGGAACAGGGTCTGATCCCGATCCCGATCCTGCTCCCCGGCAGATGGCAGGAGCTGGATGCAGCCCCATCACTCCAGGCAGGAGCACGAGCAGCTTTCAGCCCTGGCACTCACGGTGCGGGTGTGATGCCAAGGTCCACATCGACGCTCAGCCGCAGCCCGGAGTCGGGGATGAGCGACAGAGACAGCTCAGTGACTTTGACAGAGTCGATTTCGGTCCTGCTGGAGGGGAAAGGAAGGTGTCAGGAGACCAGCCTGGACTGATGTGCGATCCCTGGCTGCTCTCACAGTGGGCAAACCCCAAAAGTCCAGGGGATCCGCATGGATAAGTCAGTGCCCCAGAGCAGCACTGGTGCTGCTGCCCTCAGAGCCCAGTGGAGGAGCCAGATGCTCGTTTCTAAACCTCTCTGGCAAAGAGCTGTGTGGGTCTCCAGGAAGATTCTTGCCCTCACTGGCAAAATTCCTTTTGGGATGATATTCAGCTAAACACCAGCATAAACCAGCGTGGTAGCAAAGGCAGTGCCATGGACTCACCTGCTGGGCTTCGTGGAGCCGACAAGCAGGTTGGGAACTGCTGGAGCTGTTAGGTCCTGCCTGAGGACTGTCTCTGCGTGTGGCTTTGAAATTTCAGCGACTGTGAAACAGGGCAGATATTTTATGAGACCCTCTGGAGTCTGTGGGCTGATGGACAGACTGAAATCCACCCAGGTGACATGCTTCCATCCCTTACTAACCCCCCTGTTATTAGCTATAGAGAGGGGATGATGAAAGAGAGCTGATTAACGGCAGAAGTTTCTGGTGATGGTGTTTGGTGTCTCATCATTGGACTGAAAGATGCTGCTGCCTCCCCTCCCTGCCGAGAGGGGCCCAGACTTACAGTAGCTCAGTCCTAATGGGGTGAGGATGCCCCCGCAGTCGGGTGACCGGGTGCTGTGAGCGGGGACCAGGAGGCTCAGGAGGATGCTCAGAGTGCGGAGCTTCACCATGCTGGTGCCTGGAAGAGGAGAACATCCACAGCAGCCCGGTCAGAGCAGCACAGAGCCATGGATCCACCCCCCGGGTGGGTTTGTGGTCCTGAGCTTGGCAGCTTTTGTGCTATAACAACATGTAGCTCTCATGTGCTGCCTGGGGATTTGAGAGCACCACGAGAAGGCTCAGCCCCAAACCCCCGCTCCAAGTCTGTGCGCTGGAGTGGTGCTTGCAGCACTATCGTGCTTGCTGAAGAGCATATGATGACCCACCACTGGTATAAAACTGGTAATAAAGAGGAGCTAAAATTGATTGAGGAATGAATGGAAGTTATGGAGAAGGCTAAAATCAAATAAAAAGGTGAGTGTGTTATCTCCCTCTCTGGAAAACCTTTGGGAATTGTTTGCGATGGCTGCAATGCTCTTGCAATATTAAGAAAACCGGTAATTCAGAAAGTTTAACCTGCAGAAAACATTCATGTTTATATCAGTCTTTGCAGAAAGTGGATTCTGATGAGAACTGACCTTACAGAGACACACAAGGTAAGTACAAGCAATGCCCACATCAAGCTATTCAGTTTGCAAATGCATCTTTACCTTTCCTGGCCGGTGTTCCCATCCTTCTAACTCAGTCCGCACCTTGCCGTGGCCACACCAAGGAATTGTGCTGGCTCTATATATCCTCACACGCGAGGCTGGTGGGGCAGGAGTTGGCAGAGGGCTGGAAACTGGGACATGGGGAGGACGCTTTGTTTTATACATCATTTTTATTGTTTCCCCACACATTTGGTTACTTTGGCCGCTGCCTGAGCAAGGTGAAGTTCTGTACAGCCGGTGCTGGGGCAGCTTGTCTTCATCTGCTGTCGCAGGGGAGCACACTGGGTGAAGGTGCCAAGAAACCAACCATTGTTAGAAAGCAGATGTCAGTGTCTCTGTGGCCACACTTTCCTCGCAGGGGCAGCCACCGCCACGTCCACAGCAGCATAAAGCTGTTGTGGTTCGTGTCTCTCTCCCGGCTGAGCAGCTCAGACCAGAAGGATGAGACCTGCACATGTCCCAGTGAGGTCTTGGTGATGATCAAGGGTGTCCTCCATTCCCATCAGCCCTGGGTAAGTCTGTTGAAGATAACAGGAGTGTTTCTGTTGGGTTCAGTGCATTTCAGACCAGACAGAAGATCAACTTTTTTTAAGGTGTCTCCTGTAATCCGGGATAGCCCATGTGCAATAATTCCTTCCTCTCTTAACCCATTCCCAATTCAAAGCCACTGGCAATATTTATTACAACTGGTAGAAAAAATGGTGTGTGATGTTCATTCTCTTTGATCATGTCTCTACAAGCAGGGAAAGCTTTCATGGAAGGGAGTCAGAGTCCCTCTCCTTCCCGTGCTTGGGGTCCATCATGTTCTCCTGGCTTCCTTTTGGCCTGGAGGACAGAGCATGGCCTACCTGCAAATGCCGTGTAAGCACATCCTCCATGGTCTCACCAGCTCTCCTTAGTGCTCCGTGTTCTGACCTTCCTGTCCCCAGTGCTCATGATCTCAGCTCTGGGCACGACCCGTCTTTGGGAGGGTTGAGTTGCCCCTTTTGGTCCGGATCCCTTGGCAATGGGATGAGGTGTTCAGCACTTGTTGAAACACCTGGAGCTCAGGGAGGAAACCATTGTCCTTTGTGCGCTGGTGAAGTGAGTTATTGGGTGCTAGTTCCAGGTGCATCTTGACATGTTCAGAGCCTTTGGCTCTGTCCTGGGTTCAGCTCCAGCAGTCATTTTTTCTCCTTCTCAGTAGCTGGTGCAGTGCTGTGTTTTTGACTTTCAGTCTGGGAACAACGCTGATAACACCGATGGTTTTAGTTGTTGCTCAGTAATGTTTACTCTGACCAAGGACTTTCTCAGTCTCATGCTCTGCCAGGGAGGAGGGGAAGCCGGGAGGAAGCAGAGGCAGGACACCTGACCCAAACTGGCCAAAGGGCTATTCCATACCACAGCACGTCATGCCCAGTATATAAACTGGGGGGAGTTACCCGGAAGGCCCAGATCGCTGCTCGGGTCGGGCTGGGTATCGGTCGGCGGGTGGTGAGCGGTTGTGTCCTCTCCCCTTGTTATTCCTCTTATCATTATTATTGGTAGCAGCAGTGGTTTGTATTATACCTTAGTTACTGGAGAGCTGTTATCTCAAGCCGTGGGAGTTACATTACTCCAATCCTCCTGCCCATCCCTCCGGGAGCGGGGGGAGGAAGAAAAAGGGGGGGGAGTGAGCGAGCGGCTGCGTGGTTCCAAGTTGCCAGCTGGGCTTAAACCACGACAGGCTCTCACCAGCGCTGCGCTGCTTTCCCTCTCGAATGACACACAAACACCAGGAGAAGCAGAGTTTCAGCCACATTGTGCATTCCCATTGAAGGCAGCATCGAGGGAAAATGTGAAGGTGCACGTCTAGAGCCTGCCAGGGGAGAGCAGGATTTACACATCTGCACTGATCTATGCAGCCCATTTAGAAGCAAGAAATGTGTTACCATTGAGAAGGTTGTAACCTGCAGATGAGCCCCGAGGCGACTCGTGGCTTTGGAAGGGACATGGACACAACCTAGAGAAGTCTCCGGGAAATAAGTCTTGCTGTGTTTTAGAGCAGCAGCTGGAAATTCAACCCTGCTGTACCCTGTTCCAGCCCAGGTAACAGCAGCAGCTCTTCCCAAGCACTGCTGGAGAGTTATCAGTGGAGTGTTATTACCACTTACAGCAGTGCAAGGGGCTGGGATAAGCTGCTGGGGTGAGATTGCACCGTGGTGCTTAGAGGTGGATTTTCTCCTCCTCAAGAGCTGTTCTGGACCCAGTGATCCCTGTGGAGGCTTAATTAGATGTCAACTTACAGCATAATGACTGATCAAGCTACCAGCACAAAAGTGTCTTTCTGGCATGGTGCTTATTGGGAGTTATCTATAAATCTGACACTCCTGTTAGATAAGATGTAAATCTCCCTGTCTGGGCTGAGCAGAGACAGCGAGTGCCTCACTGGAGGGAGGCAATGACAGATGAAATCTCATGATATGTTTTAGACAGACACGAAGAGAAGAAATAAATTATAGCAGGACCCCATGGGGGGAACTCCCAGAGCCAGGTCCTGCTGGGTGGGTACTGGGAGGGGACGGGTGAGGACGCTGTGGTGGTCACCAGCCCCAGCCCGGGCAGGGAGTTACTTGTGCATTCAGGCTGTGTTTTGGCCAGTGTAGCTCAGCTGGACTTGCAGGGAGCCCTGTTCACTTCCCTCTAGTGTGATCCAGTGTTTAGCCCCTGACGTGTGCTTTTGGAACCATCTTCAGCTCATTGTCTCTCTGTCTGTTGAAGCCCACACACCCCTGTAGGCCTCTGGGACTCTCTGAGCAGCCATAGCGGATCAGGAGATGTCAAGGGCTTGGTGCCTTTTCTTCCTTGGTGGCTGGTTGGTGTGGTCAGGAGGAGCTGCTGGCCTGGGAGCTGTCATCAGGACTGATCTTGGAATGACTGAGCATGGCAAGTGCTCAGCCACGTTAGTGTCCATGTGTGCACACAGGCAGCGGTGCGCATCCTGCATCCCTGAGCACATCCCTGTGGGCTGCACGTCCCATGGGCACGTGGGTCGTCTCACCGGTGTGTTAAGGTGGGAACCTGGAGTTAGTGTTCCATGTCTAAAACCACACTGTGTGCAGGGCAAGCACCCGCCCAGCTCCAACCGCTCCCCAGGGACGGCAAGGATTGCTGGTTGTCCCCAGTCACAGCGTGTGAAGGGTCCTGCTGGCGCCTGCGTGTGCTGGGAGGGGAACATGTTAATAAGGATGTCTTATAGGGTACGATGGGGAGCACTGAGTCCCCTCGCCCTCCAGCACAGGGACATTTTGTGCTAAAACAGGTAGGACAGAGCCTTGGGCAACATGGTTTGGTGCAACATGTCCCTGCCCATGGTAGGGGGGTTGGACCTAGGTGATCTTAAGGTCCTTTCCAACCCAAACTATCCTGTGATTCTATGATTCTAAACTCACGCTGTGCAAACCCTCCGGCAGCCTCCTCTGCTCTGAAGGGGAGTGATGCTCTGCAGAGAATGGCAGAGGAAGCTGAGAAACAAAAGAGCAGAACCCCAAATCCATCAAAGGCGCGTGGGGGTGAGCGATGAGCTGCAGCTTCCAGCGTGAGCCTGAAACCGGGAGAACAGCAGAAGGTTGGGAGGTGTCAGCCCTGAGGCAGAAACGAATCACTCCCCGCTAACAAGTGTGATATTAAAGCCAGTGATTTTCTGCATGGTTGTGTCCACAGACACATGGAGAAACTATAACTTAAAGGCAACAAAGCACGTCAGCTCCGGCTCCCTCATGCCGGGGCTGTGGCGTCGGCTCTGCGGTGCCGTGGGGGTTTGCTCTCCAAGCCGGGGGTGCCGGGTTTGTCAGTGACATCCTGAGGAAACCCCCAAATCTCTGGGGATCGGAGCTGGGTTTCCATCCCACAGCTTCCCGCTGCGGAAAGCAGGAGGAAGGGGAGCCCCAGAATACTCTTTTCCCTATTTTCTTCAGAATTAAACTGTGATGCTTTTAGTGGGAAGAAACAAGTTTCTAAATCAAACAATGATTTTAAATGAAGAGTTTAAAGTAAAGATGGTGATGGCAATATCAGTGGTAGGTGACTGGTGCAAGCAGCCCAACTTGGTTGCTGTGGGCTTCTCTTTCCCAGCTTTTTCCCCAGCCCTTTTCCTATGTTTTTCCACAGGCTGAAGGTGAAAGATCTTCATCTCTCAGTGATATTGCTGCTGCTCTCACAGGCTTGGGGCTCTTCATGGCCCAAATGACCATCAGTGGGAAAAGGTGAGGTGGGAGAAGGGAGCCGGTGCAGGGAATGGGATGGACAGCGCGGGATTGTCCTGCTGCGACCGAGCCTTGCTCTGAGCAGCTTTATAGGAGAAACCATGGACATAGCCCTGGTTGCAAACCTGTGGCTGGATGTAGCAGGACCCTGCAGACACCCCCAGGCTCTGCTCTGGGAACTGCCGCATCACTCTTATCAGCATGAAAACCAGCCTCCCAGCTTGAGTCCCAAGGGACAACGTCCAGTATCAATAGCTCCTAAGAGGCAGTGACAGCACTGTTAAACCTTCCAGCCTCCAGGTTTGCATTTCTGCAGAACATAAACACTTTTTACTGTTTATTTTTTCCACTAAGAAAACCAAAATGTTTTATAGACAAATTCAGGCCAGCTCCAGCTGTGCTATTCCGTGAATGTTCCCCTTTGGCATCAGTCCTCATTTAAATGCTGCGCTCTGGGGATATCGGAGCTTCTTTTAGGCTTGGAAACCTTTAGCTCTCCTTAAAGACAGAAGATGGCATTCTTGAGAAAAGGTTTGCAAAGAGAAAAAACATCTTTTATTAGACACTGGGCATGTTTTGGCCTAACCCGCACCAGGTGGGTTTGTTTAGCACTTGCCTTTCTTGCCTTTCGATTTTTAGTAAATAATTACTGCTATGTGCATAAGGGTCGACGCTTTTCCTCTGCCCAGCATGCTGCCTAAAGGCAGGAGCAAGTTTGTGGACAATCACCCTTCAGTGCTGCTGGGTCTGCTAAGTCTGATCCTCCTCCCCTCCTTGTTTCTCAGAGATCATCTCCTCC